TTGAATTTTAATTATACATATAAAAATAATAATTCTATTAATAATTTAATTTATTTTTCAACAAGAAGAATAATTTTCATATAGTATTATTTAAAAATTTTAATATCTAAAAATAATTATTTTTATTATTCCTCATTTGAAAATCAATCAGATGATATTATAATGGGATGAAGCATTTATTGTTGATTAAATGAACAAAATGATAATTTAGATTTAGATGAATACTGGAGAGAAAAAAAGAACTTTGCAAATTTGGCACAAATAGCTTTAATTTATATTTTACTTCCTATTTCTGGAGTTGATGTTAAAGAAGTTTTAGCGGTTATAAAAATATTTTAGATGACAAAAGACATGCATTATCATAAGAATCTATTGAAATTTATATTTAAATTTGTAATTTTAAATCTTTTTTAAATAAAATTTGTAACCAAATTTTGTGATATTTTGACATCGAATGTCCAATCTGAATAAAAATAGGCTATTTGATTTGGCTAATCGAATGGCCTATTTTTATTCAGATTGGACCATAAATATCACGTCCAATTTTTTGATCATCATAACGATAATGATCTAAGAGTCTTTTTTGTTGCAGTAATTATTGCGGCGAAATGCAATAAAATGGACATGTACATACATGTAGTCATTCTACCATACGATATAGGTAATTAGCGCCTGCAATTTGAGACATTTACATGTACTCCGTAAATTTCTTTATTAGATTTTCTGGGCTAGTTGGTCCAAATTCAGCAATTTGAGGATAATGATAACTCCAAGTCACAATGCACAGCTCTTTTTTTCTCAGTTCAAAGAATGGTAATACATTAAATATTTTAACATTTTTGTCAAGTCAATTCTACTTAGTTTGTATTGGATTGATCGATCATTTTACAAGTCAAACCTCTCGACCAAAGGTGATTTCAATTTCTTTGTATTTACGCACCTATATTTAATATTTGATCATTTACTCATTGTTAAAAATAATAGGATAAAGAACTTATGTCAGTTTTGTCCTTTGGCTCGCTTGCTTGGTTCACTGAATTAACAGTTTGTGCTTCGATAATTGAGATTAGAAAAATGTATCGTTACTTATTTTTCTCGTAATTTTTTATCCTGGTCATTTTTTAAAATTAAAAAATTTACAGTATATAGAGAAATACAGTATAACTGGTTAACCGATCAAGATCGCCAGACTTGGGGTTTAATAAACCTTTTGTACCGCTATATAGTATATAGCGATGTGACTCTATAACGGCTGAAAAATGGTGTTAGGAACATTTTATTTTGCAAGTCACTCGACACATCCTCACTCTCCAGATCTGTTTTGTGCTATTAAGAAAAGATGCTGAATTAAAAGAAATAAATAGTTTTTACCTTCGATTGTGTATATTGCATTTGAAGGATTTATCCCTTTTTTCGTTCTTCTTCAAAAGAATCAATTTTTTTTCTCTTCTCCTTAAGTTCTCTCATTTCTACTGTTCAAGTTTACACTTATGCTCGTGAGTAGGAGGGTACTATTGTTTGTTGAAAATTTAATTGTGAAAAGTACCCTATACATCATTTTAAAATAATCGAGCACGCGACAACTAACTTTTTATCATTTGATACAATAAATTTTATTTAAATAAAGTTACATGTGATACATGTATATGCTATATTTCTATCTCTGTGTTTTAATACGAGTAATTTATAAAATTGCATGATAAGGGATGTTATAGTCAGTATTTTATTATAAAATAATTACTAATGCAAAAAAATATCTACTACTATCGCTATCATTAGAATTGCTATTATGATTTCCCAATTGTTTCGAGTTCTCGTTATTATTGTTATCCATGGCGTTAGTTACCATGTAAAACCGACCTGACCTTCGTTCTGAATACATGTACATTGTACTCATGCAACGCTAATTTCCAATGTTATCTCAATGTTATCTCCAATACTATATATCTAATATTACATCCTCTGTCTCCAATAAATTATCCAGAGTGGTTAGGTCCTTTGTATCAGAAAAGGCATACGTTATTGTGATCGAGTTTATTGAACGATTTTTAAGAGTTTAAAGCTTTTGTCTATAAAAAGTATTCGCTTAGAAATTGCGTACTTGTTAGAAATATCTTATAAATAAAAGATAAATATAATTACCTGCTTTTATCCGTGAATTCCCCTTTTAAACGCCATTTAACAAAATACCCCATAACGATATCGGCCCAGGAATTAGACCTATAACGCCTCATAACGTCTAATCTCTCCAACATTAATCGTTACGTAAACCCATAACATTAGCATTATCGTTATAGAATCAGTTAATCTGTCACATGAATCTAAGTTATGGCATAGCGAAAAAGAATGTATAGCATATGTATAATTTGTAAAAGCATTTTCAAATTCTGTATTACGAAGCATCTGTGAGAGAAGATTTGAGAGAAAACGAGCGCTTCTTTGCATAAGAAAAAATTTCTGTCTAAAACATTTTTATAGCATACACTTGCAATAATAACACAAGTCATGATAATAATAGTTCAAAGGACAATAAAGAAGACAACTAATATTAAACCATTTTTCAAGACAAACCGAAACTTATAGATGTACCCCATACATTATGCATTAACACACCCCAATTGAACATATTTGGATATAATATCACTTACAATGACTTCTTGTTTTAGATAGAGGTTGATCTGACATGTACTATACATGTGGCTTTTATTCAACTACATGTACATATATGTATACAGCGAATCTCTAAAATAATCATTGTAAGAATAAAAATAGACTATAGACTACTGTGATACATTTATTACAAACTTACAACAATCATTTTTGCTTGTTTTAGACATAAGGTAAAGGAGTGTATTATGGTAGACCTAATAATTATCAAATGATAATGGCTTATAAAAAAAGCCATTTATAAAATTTTATTAGATAGTTCAATTTTTAGTTTAAACCTATACATGTAATAAAAAAATTGCAAATAGCTTACTGTTGCGTAACTTTTTTAAGAGTTACATAATTTTTACTCCTATGCGATATTATGTAGTGAATGGAACTACCACCATCTGATTCTCCTGAAGATACTGTATCGCGCTTAAAAGTCACAAAGAATTCACATATGAAGTTCTAGTTGGAACGAAACTCACTTCAAACCTAAACTCAAGTTGATTCTCGAACCAAACTTCGAATTTGCCAAAATTCTGATTCGATATTTCAATCTTTTTTTTGAGCCTACCTATGATTTAGCGAACAAGTCCGAAAGTTTTATCCCAAAGTTTAACTGACAAATTCTTTGACTATTGCTTATACATATTGCAGAGTGTCTGATACGAAATCCCGACAAACACAATCCCGAACCCGACAAACGAAATCCAGTAAGAATGGCATTCCGAATAAAATAAATACCGAAATTATAGCATCCCAAATGCATGAGATACCAAAATTATCACGATTTCGGGATTTCATGAATTCGGGTGTCGTTCGTTCGGGATTTCGTTCATTCAGGATCTCTATCTCTAAGGATTCGAACATTCTGGATGCCGTTCTTTCGGGGTACATGAACGTTGGGATTGTGTTCGTCGGGATTTTGAACTTTATCGTTGCAGACGCCTTTTATAGAAATTCCCTATAATAAAATGAGGTTCTCTAGTTTTATATCGGATAAAAGTCAGGGTTGAGTTGAAAATTGTCCAGTCATGATTCTTTTAAAATTCTCTTTTTTGTTGAGGATGCGTAGGATATTGAGTTTTTCCTTCTGTTTTGTGGTGAGAACGATCTGTTTTATGATGAGGGTGATGAATTTTCCCTTCTGTTAGGATGATGAGATTTTACAACTCCAGTTGAATCAGCTGGACTCGACGAAGTTGATTCAGTTGGCCAAAGAGGCGGTTGCGAGCAAGAATAAAGCAGAGATTAAAGAAACCTTCATTTTTCTGTTTCAAAAGAGAAAACGCAAGGAAAGAAGAAAGCCAAATTGATTGTTTAATGAAAGTGAAAATAGGAATATATAGATTTGAGGAAAAAACTGTCGAGATCAACTTGGTCTTCGTTCAACGCACGCCTTTTATCCGTATTTCTCAGAATCTCAGCAAGCTACAAATGCGTCAAATTACATACAAATTTTCCCGCAGGCGACAATTTCCCAATAATATTTTATTTATCGAGTCTTCAAACATTAATCGTTAATTAACATGCACTTCATATCTATATCGTCAACGGAACCATTATTTCGTTTTTTTGTATAGCGATAGATAAAATGCACGTTTCTTGGCGAAAGTAGTGTCTCCATGAATGCATTATTTCCTGTTTTTACGACTTGCATTTAAATACATGTAATCAAGAAATTTGAAACATGTACATAGATCGATGTATGATCAAAAATTGTCCCGAAAATTCCTTTTTCAATAGCGATAGCATTACAATTAGCGGAATTGGTTGGTATAACGAAAAAAGAAAAATATAACGAATCGAGTCAGTCGACTGAGTCGATCATATTAATTTTTGTCTACATCTTTATTTCTAAGTTAACACGAAATCCATTTGTTAATTGAAACAAATTCAGTTCCTCGTGAACAATTTATTTTCAATTGCTGGAGTTGTTATTAGTAAATTAAGAAATAGATTAACAAGTGCTCGTGTATGTTTGTGTTTAAAAAGTTGGATAAATGACAATATTTTATATTTTATAGTTTATAGATATTATTTCGTTCTTTATCGTATAAACTTTGATTTCTCAGGAACTTAGTCGATTTGAGTCGACTTTGATTCATAGTCAGTAAAAGTCGAGTAGAATTTAGTCGAGTCGTTAGCATCCCTACTACTATAATTGTAAAAGTATTTTCGAATTCTAAATTGCAGAGCATCAAATATGTTTGAATTACAAATAAATTTATTATTGTGTAGGATCTAATACATGTATTACTATACATAAATACAAAAACCTTTATTCATTGTATAACTATTTTTAAAAAAGGTCATTCTACATGAAATATACACTTATAGGAATAGAATTAGTAGACGTCCTGAACGGCAACATTAGTGCCACCGTTACCACCGTTACCACCATTACCACCCTTGGCAGGACCGCCGAGAGCGATGGCTGGGCCGCCACCGCCGCCGCCGTAGTAGTAGGGATATCCATAATATCCACCTCCGGAATTGGCGTAGGCACTTCCTCCATAGGCATTACCACCGTTACCACCGTTACCACCATTTGCTGATTGTTTAATGGTATCGCCAAAAGGAGCCGGAGCCGCGTTAGATAAAGCGAAGAGGCTGCTTGCCAAGATCAAAGCGATCGCAACGAATTGTTTCATTGTTATTTTTTTATTGATTTAAAAAATTTATATTTATTATTCGCGTTTGTTTTTCGAATAATGAAGATTTGGGAGAGAACAAGCGTTTCTTTTTATAAGAAAAAACTGAATAAATCAAACATACACGTATAGATAATATGCAATAGTAATGCAATGATAACTCAAAAGGGCACTATTATTAAAAGAATGTTTCAAGAAAAAAAAAAGACAAATTTAGATTTGTAAGATGTGTACTTACAACAATGATTTTTCCTTAATTTAACAAAAGAATTACATAAAAGTAAAAAATGATAGATGTAAATGTATAACAATCTTTGAACAATAGGAAAATCAATACATTTATTTTATAAATAAAAGATTATCGGTATGTGGGTATTTTTAGATGTTTCTCATACATTTATTTACCTCCTTTTTTTATGTATCACAGGTAGTGATCCACGGTTAACCTATATAGTAATTCTTAATTATTAATTATTAATAGAAAAATGTCTGTTGTACTACGATTAATTGTTGATGTCATCCAAGAAACTATTAATCTTGAAATAACACTTTTTTTATTAATACCGATACACTCCTATATTAAAAAAATTTAATACAGAATTTAACTATTATCTTAACGTTAAGAAAAAAAAATCGGGAAATCCTTTAAGTATCTTGTTTTAAAATTGATCAATTGCTATCATTAACAATAGCGATCGGTGGATAAGATGCCGAAACCATGAACATGTAATGGATTCCGATAAAGTCATAGATTTAAATGATAAGTGAAGAATTGATAACAAATTGATCTTACTTATCAATAAAGATCAATAATATTTATTTAATAAGGTTAAACTAGAATCACTGCTTCTTCAGGATATCAAAACTCATATCTGTTTGTTTAGATATTTTCTCTTTATCTTTATTATTACAAATTTTAATTATCAAATATACTTGTTTATTTTCTAACTTTATTTCTTCTTCTGATATTGTATAATATTTATTTAAAATATCTTTTATTGAATTATACTTACTATTATCTTCTTTTTTTCTTTTATTACTTCAAATTCAGATTTATTTTCCTCATGAACTTTATTTATTTGTTTAAATATATACAATTCTTACAAATTTCTGAATTACAAGAAATTAGATATTTATTATAAAGCTTAATATAATCTGGTACAAAGTGATTTATATTAAAGATGACATTTCAATTAATTATATTATATGACTTGTGATAGTTAATTAAAGAATTATAATTTAATTATGATCAACTACAATAATTAATCAGAGAATTATGACCAAGTTACTTATTCATACATTACAAAAAATTGAATAATAATTTTTTTATATATAACTTTTTTTAAAAAAAATTAAATTTATTATGTTAAAAAAAATTTTAAAATTTATTATCATTATTAAAATTATTAATATTATTATCATCATTTATTTTGTTATCTAATAAAATTATATTATTATCTGATTAATAATATTTCTTTATCTTTACCAATACTCTTTTTCAAAATTCAGTTATTACTTTTAAAATTATTTTTTTATTAAATATATAAAAGCTTATTTTTAATATCTAAAAGATTAGAATATAAACCTAACTTGCTATCTTATTTTTTATTATAGTTCAAATATGCTTAATTAACTGAAGTTTATAATGATAAGAAAAAGTAAAAAAATTAATATTCATATTGCTTGATTATTTTAATAAAGTAAATAGAATCTTTTCTTTATATCTTTTAATAAGTTCTAAAAGCCCAGCTTATATAATCTATCAAAAAAGAAATTTGATAAGTAATTAGTCAGTTAATAATTTCTTGTTTTTTGATACTTGAAATTGAAATATTTTTAATTTATTATTTATAATGATATATATTATTTATATAAATATTTACTAATTTATATATTTTATTAATTATTTTATAAAGTATTCTAAAAAGATCTTAAAATTAAAATTTTTATAATAATTAACTTGATCAAAATAATATTAATATTTTTAATAATATCTAAAATATTATCCTATTTTTTAATATTATTTTATCTTATTTTTAATTATTAGAAGATTTGATTATTAAATTCTAAATATATATAGAATTTAGAATAAGTTTGCTATATATCTTATTAGTATTACTATTTTAAAAAATAATAATTATATCAAAGATTATTAGTAATAAATCATATTCTGATATTAAATAATAACTTATTAAGAAATCTATATATTTAGTAATATAATATAAATAATAATATAACTTATTAAAAAAGATTTTTAAAAGATATAGAATATTATTTATATTTTCTAAATTAATAAAATAGTAATAAATATAATAATAATAAAATTGTAACCTTCTAGTTATATAGTGTAATATATCCAGATAATTCATACAGAAAAGTTGGAATATAATATTATATCAGAAAAATTCACACAGAAGATTCAAGATATAAGTGATATTATTTAAAATAGAATTCATATAGAAAACTAATTTAATAGCAGATAAGATATTATGTTTAAAACTTATTCTTTATTTGATACTTTATTACTTGTTAAAATTACAGAACAGATATAGTATCTTTAAATAATAAATTAATGTTACATAAAATTAATAATAAGATAAATAAATTAATAATAGAAAATACTTATATGGTAGTATCTCTAGAAGATACTTATTAATAAATAAATAAAGAAATAAATGATTATAAATAAAATATATAAATTTAATAATACACTAGCTAAATTAGTAGAACAAGAGAAAAGAGAAATTCTACTAAGAAACTATCTATAGTTAAAATAACTCAAATAAATTAGATGACTTTTCTTGACATGATCAGATAATTATGATACAGTAAGTCACATATAATGTAGTATATAGCACAGTAATAATCTGTAAGATAAAAGATAAATATAATATAATTATTATTAACTAATCTAATTTTATTACAATTCTCCTCCTCTTAAGAATCAATATTCTTATTAACATTTTAATTCAAAAGATTTCATGTGTTTTATAATATTGCAAAAATTTTCTAAAGATTTCCAGGTAGAATCATGAAGAGGATAATCTAGTCATTTAACTAAATATTGAGATTTATTTTAAATGATTCTTTTATCCAAGATTACTTTCACTTTGTATTCTTTTTCATCAGTTCTAGATATAATAATAGATTATGGTGAAATTGGATAAATAAAATCTTCATTATCATTAGGATTGTATAATTTTAATAATGAAATATGAAAGATAGGGTAGATTTTCATATGCAAAGATAAATCCAATTTATATATAATAGGTGAAATAACTTCAAGAATAGAGAAGAGATCAATATATTTAGATGTAAGCTTTTTACTAAGATATTATTTATTCATGAGATCAATAATATTGTAAGTTGAAAGTAAAACTTGATTTCTAATTTTAAATTCTTGATAATGATAATGTTGATTAGCATATTTTAATTAATAATCCTGTACTTCCATTAATAAGTTTTTAACATCTTTAATTATATTATTTTAATATTAAATGAATTTATTAGCAGTAGTGATCTTATTATCTGTGATGAGTGTTGTAGATATAATTAGATATTGACCATAGTCTAACTCAAAGGGTGTATAATCAGAAGAAGCTTAAATTAAATTATTATATGCAAATTCAGCAGCTACAAGATATTCATTCTAGCAATCTTGATTATAGATAAAATAGATTCATAGTATTTCTTTTAAAGTATGATTCATTCTTTTAGTTTGATCATCAGTTTGTAAGTAAAATGTGATTGATATAGCTAACTTAGTTCTAATTTGTTCAAATAGTAATTTTTAGAAATGACTAGTAAATTTGATATCACAGTCTGAAATTATAACTTGAGATAATCTATGTAATTTAAATATATTATTGAAGAATAATTTAGCAACTTCAAGTACAGTAACAGTAGTATGAGTAGGAATAAAGTATGTGTGTTTAGTGAGATGATCAATAATAACTAGAATTATATTGTATTCTTGACAAGTTGTAGATAATTGTATAATAAAATCCAAAGTAATTTGTTTTCAGTATTGTTCAGATATTTTCAAGAATCATAGAAGTCCTGAAAGAGACTGATTATTAGATTTATGTTTTTGGCATTTTTCATAATTAAGAATATATTTATAAATATCCTTAAATATTTTTGATCAGTAATATGATCTTTATAATTGCTCATAAGTTTTATCAATTTCTAAATGACTAGAGATAGAGATATCATGATGTTTCTTCAAAATTTGAGTTCTTAGAATTTTATCCTTGGAAATAATGAGATGATTAGTATTTTTTAAATAAATTTTGTTATCTCTTAGAGCAAAGTGTCATAGAGATTGTTATTTTAATATAGATACTTCAAAATTATGTAAGATTATCCAGATTTTCTTGAAATATTTATCATTCTTATATCCTTGTTATAACTTTTTATCATTGATAAGTTGTGTAAAGATTGTAATAATATTATTCACTTGTGATGGATGAGACAAAGCATCAATTACTATATTTTCCTTTTCTGATTTATATTTAATAATGAAATTATTAGCTTGTAAGATTTTCAGCTAGCAAACTTGATATTTAGAAAAATTATGTTATGTCTTAATATATTCAAGTAATACATGATCAGTTATAATAGTAAATCATTATTCTTTCAAGTATAGTTTCTAAAGATAAATAGTATACACAATAATGAGAAGTTTCTTTTCATATATTAGATAGTTTTGTTTAGCTAAGAATAGTTTACATGATTTATAAGTAACAGATTAATCATCTTTTTCATAATTTTGACTAAGAATAGCTTCAGCTAAATGATTTATTAATTTATTAATATAAGATAAAGAATATCAATTTTTAATTATAATTTTATTCAAGATATGATAATCAATACAGAGATGAAGAGTTCCTTCCTTTTTATATACAAATAAGATAGATACTTCAAATAGTGAAAGACTAGAATAAATAAAACCTTTGCTAAGTAAATCAAATAGTTATTTCTTTAGTTCATCTATTTTA